AAGCTTTATTGTTCAGTGGCTAAACTACTGAGTGCAAACTGTTTAACCTTAGGCTCATGATACTCTTATATGGTGCCAAACACGTTTCAGTTTTCTAAAGGACAGCTCGATGAAGGAGTCGGAGACATCTGTCACCCTCGTATGGTTTTGTCCACCAGATATTGTCATGGCCTCCTTCGACACCACCCACCTGAAGCCTCCGTAGACATGGAGCAGTTACAAGGGTTTAAAGATGAAAACGCTAGTGATGTTGGAACGTTTAGACAGTTGGTTTCATACCAGCGTTGTTGTTGTTTTTACTGGTTAGTTAGAAGGGTTATGGTTTAAAGAGATTTTGCTCTTCGGAATTCGTGTGTGAATTTCTCATTCCATGAATACCGGACACGTGATCAGTAAACTGTATTTATACCCTACCACTTGGCTTACTAGAATTATATTGAGGTTGACGCATACAGTTTCAGCTGCTAGGGTACTGAAGTCCATAAAACCGATAATTTCATTCACAAGCTTAACGGCCTTCAGTCCGTACATTGAATGACAGTCGTTTATAATCAGTCACTTTAAAAGGCTTGCTGATTCATATAATCTGAAATGTGATATTACTGGTGCACTTTTTAAAATCACGATTCACCCTGTTGTAGATGGGGTGAGTGTGAAACGAAATAGTTTACAAGCAGTTTATGAGGTTATCTGATGTAGCTCGCAGGCCGTATGGGTTCTCTGCTTATGATGAGACGCTGGATATCGTATATATATATATATATATATCACGGTGGCGTCGATTTGCGTACGTGGTGTTTCTCATGGCAGGAAGCGCACGAAATGCAGACGATTAGGTTGTTGAAGCAGAATTCGAACGCGATTAAAATGACATTTTACGAAGCATTGCGTAAGATGGCTGTTCGTGTGCAATCGAGAGCTGTATACGAGCAGAAGACAATTGTACATTGTCTGACCATAATAAAGTCCGCACTTTTCATTCTAAAACTGTTTCCAAGAGGTTACATCATTCATAGTTGTGAACCTGAGGATGGGTACATATGTAAGAATCAGTGATTGGCACCGAAATGCATAATGAAGAGTCTACTCAGCAAGCGAAAGCTCATTATCATTATGTCAACATCATTCAAATGCGATAAAGCTATTAAAAGTGCTGCAAAATCAAATATGAAAGCATAGTTTGAACTTTGAAATAGTTTTTCCCTTTGATAAACTTTAATGTGAAATTAGGTATTCAGAGATTATATTTTTGTAGAAAACACTACGAAATAATATCATCTTGCAGTATTCGTCTTTTTGAATGACAGTTTGGAATGTCTACCATAATCTAATACGTTCTGCATTCAGTATTTCTAAGCTTTAAATCAACTAAGTCTTACCATATAATGAAGTCTTCACCGTCCGTATAACTGAATTTCCTTGTAGAGAATATTTGACTTTATGGTACAGTGCTCCGTAGAATATCTTTTTCTATCCCCTAAGAGAAGTTGCAATGTTTTATTGTTGCATTTTGTTGCTTGTCAGATGAAATGATTGAAATTGTGGTCTAAGATATTAGATGTTTTATTTAATAAGGTAAGTAATGTTGACGTTAGGCGTAGAGTTTTGGGCAAAGAGGGAAAATCAATCGACGAGGGTATAAAGTTACATAGATTGAGATGGCTAGGTCACGTGCTGCGCATGCCTAACCATCGCCTCCCCCGACGGGCATTGCTAGCTGATATAGGTGCAGGTTGGAAAAGGGTAAGTGGTGGCCAAACAAAAACATGGCATCAATCCATAAAATCCTTGACAGTTAAACTGAGTCAGGTATGGAGATGCAGGGCCCTCGGGACTCTAGGAATCAATAGCTGGAGACAATAGGTGACATGGCTCAAAATCGTTGTCAATGGCGCAGATGTATTCAGTCTGTGTAATCTTTCATATTCCTTTCTACAATTACCCATTCTGTTTCACTCTTATACTTGTCAGACTGTATTGATTCTCTTCACTCATCTTCTTGTCTACTTTTGTGTGCTATTTGGAACGTGGCAACTGGAACTGGTGGACTTCGGTGCCAAGTTCTATGTTGAATCCAGACAGACAGACATGTCAACATTTACTTATTAGGTCGACTTCGTTAAAGATATGACTCCTATATTATATCTGACAAATGGTTTTGTAGTGTCTGGCAGCGTTCAGTCAGGAGATAGGTGTCAAGCAAAACAGAAGTAGGTATAGACAACTGTTCTATCTCAGTAGAGCAGCCAACCATAACTTGAGAAGCGATTATTTCACCACCAGCTACACAACTTTTGAAATCAGCAAACTGACCTCGTGTTATAGCTGCAATGAATTAAAGGAAAACCCCGTCGCCAATTGTTATAACTGTAGGGAATTGAATGAAGACGTTTTCACCTTATTCTGTCTGCGCCTGAACTAATCTGTCTATCTGCTCGTCGTACCTTCCGACTTGGTAAAGCACGCAAATATCAAAAGACAAAGGCTGGACTGTGACTGTGTATTGAGGTGCAACAACGATAAAGAAAGCCATGGTATTTATACATTTTACAACAATATGGACAGCTAACAGCATTTGAAATAATTGACCTTAATAGCCAATAACAAAGTGTGTGAGAAATGATAATATGCCATATGTGCGACATTGACAGTCAGTAACAAAATGCGTGAGAATGATAATATACAAAATTAGCAGTCACTACCAAAATGCGTGAGAATGATAATATACAAAATTAGCAGTCACTACCAAAATGCGTGAGAATGATAATATACAAAATTAGCAGTCAATACCAAATGTGTGAGAATGATAACATACCATATATGCAAGTTTAAACAGTCAATACCAAAATATGTGGGATCCTATCACCTCGGGAGACCTACTAGACCAATGCTCATCCTTCTGTTGTGTTCACCACTTCCTTCACCTAAGTATCAGATAATTTCTCCATTAGATGAGGTAGTATATTATCCCTTTCTAATGTACGGATGGTTACATTCGTGTATGATAAATAGTTTAGATACTTAGGCACGGGGGACTAGCAAGTCAGTTAGGCAATTGAGTTTGCTGCTATTGGTCAATAATCAAGGGAAATAAAACCAGTTTTGTTTTTGATCAACTATTCCATTTACAGAAAAAGGTGAGGATCCCTCATTTGCGCGAAAATGCTTAAACGGATACTAACCACATCAAGACTGTCTGATGCAGAAATTCATAATATGTGTTTCCCGAAACTCAATTATTTCCAGTGAATTACTTAAGCATTAGTTTCTGTTGCAGTTTGAGATCAAGCTTTCTAGATGGAGGCGAATATCACTTATTTATTTCCTTATTTATCCTTTGAGAACAAAGTTGCTCCACTGTGTTGCGCACTGGAGATACGAGCGTCGTGTACCACCCCTAATTGAGTAATAGTTTAGTTTGCAAAACACATGGATTCTGGACAGAGGTGGAGAAGAATAAGCAACCTAACCAAATTATGCATAAATGAGAACAAACTATTGATACACTGGAGTTACTTGTTGCTGTTCTTACTCATCATACATAGGGACGTATTCGTTTTCATTGTAACATGGTGCTTTGACTGAAAAATAGTTAACTATTTTGTCTTAATTACTCCTAATTGTCTATCAAATTATACCTAGTTACCACACTTAGTTATTATTACTCCGTGAAGATTTTTTGAAAAAAATATTGGGGCATTCATTGGAAATGGTCGCATGAATCTAAGTTTCTAGTGTGGGCGACGATGTAATGCAGCCTATTTGTGTAAGCCTGTCGTGATTGCCTCGATGTTCATAGAATAAGAGTTAATTATGCAGAAATGGACAAAATGATGCCATTTTTAAATTGGTTATTCAGTAATTCAAATGCTAATGTATGCATTCCTTCTTAAAGTGTGTCAATACCATTACTATTAATGCTTTAATAGTTTATGGTGTAGCAGTTAGTTCATTGCCAACTAATTATTGTGGAGTGGTCAGGTATTCATATCATGAGGGCATCAGTTACGTTTATGCTTAAATATACTAGATTTGGAGAAAATCTTAAATTCGAATATTCCTTTTATTAGCTTTAGTTTCTGAAGGGAGCTATAGAAAGGCCGTAATAGTTATGGATCCTAGCATGTGTAACCCTTATCTTGAACTGAAAATGATGTAGGTATTTGCTTCGATTCTAAGTTTAAAATCGCATAACTATGAAGTTGTTAAAGTGATCAAAGAAAAGTGAATGGATGAGCTTTACATGAGTAAATCGTATAAATAACAGTGACTTTGATTGTGGGCAGAACTACTTTCACGCCTTAATGTCTCAATGTAATTTGTTTCTAACTTCCTCAATTTTAATCAATATGAACTTACAGAAAATTTCACAAATTTAGTGAACGGTGTGAAGAATTCAATATTATTTAGTCGCTTTTAAATTTAATGTTGTCAAATAACAGTGGAAACTCTTATTCCACAATGCTTTCACATCATTTGAGAATTCTTCCGAAGACAGTACTGTATTCAAATTCCCAGGCATTGTTAGATGGTAAATGTGACTCGTTAGTCTTTTGTAAGAATGAATTTCCTTATGTAAATCATTCCAAGTACTCTGTCAACAAGCTGACTTGTGAACTCCCGAAACGGCTGCGAAAATCGCTAAGCTATGTAAATTATTCCTAACTAGTCAGGTCGGTCAGTGCTGTGTATGACACACTAATATCCTGATGTCTACAAGCTGGCTGATATTAATTAGAATGAATAACTTTTTATCTTAGTTGCACCTGATTTATGTAATTTAACCACAGGAAATTGTATCTACTGATAATTTTGAACAGGTTAGAACGTTGGATTATTCGACTGGGGAGCTATCTTGAATCACGTAGTAAAAAACTTACTACACTATAATTCCGACTCACTATTTACTTCTTTGTCAGCTAAAGAGAATTTTCAACAATGCATCACTTGGAAAATCTTTTAAAAAAACTGTTTTGTATGACAAATAAAATATTTAAAATCTGAAATATTAAAATCAAAATAACATCTTGAATAAATTGTTTTCGTTAGCGTTACATTATTAGGGTAAAATAAATAAAATTAACTTAACACTTTAAATCTCATCAACATCAGTGAAGACGTACATAGATGTAGTACAGCCTTTTAATGGATCTTTAGTTGAAGATAAACGACATGGAGGTGTATACTTTCTGTATTTCTTATTAATATAATCTAGTAATTTCAAAGAGATACTAGTAATCTGTTGCATAACTAAACCACTAAGCCATAAAATCCATCCATCAAATATAGCTATTTGACCACAAGTTAGCGAATGTGAAAAAATATAACATGTACCGATTGGTTCTGTAAATCTCCATGCTCGTGAAAATATTGTAGTCCCAGGACGTGAATAACCGAGTTGTGTATGATTAATTTCATATCTTGATAAATAATTGATCCAGTTAGTGATGTAGGCTAACCAACATATGATTGCAATACCTGGATATCTGTTTCGATTTTGACTGATTGTAAACTTGTTAACTGAATACCATGGTGACAACCATTCGTAGACATAGATCCATTTTTCAGCCTTAGGTTCATTATGATCATAGATAATGCGAAGAGCTATCGGTGAAAATGGGGATAACGCCTAGGTGGAAAAATTAACAAAATATTAATTATTAGAAATGAACTGGTGCTTCTTTTGCAACATATCCAATAACACAGAAGACAATATCGGTGGTTATGCTTAAAAAAATGTCAGTTGCTTAATCAGTGGATCCCTAGTACTACTTTCAGTCTTTCAAAAAAGATGGTAAAGTTTGTATCAAAATAGCCGAAGTAAGGTCAACGTAATTTAAAAAATAATGAATTCACCATGTTGAGATCCAATAGGCTCTGGAGGAAAGCGAAATTGGAAGCAGTTTGTTATGTACTCGTCGAGCAGTTAATAGTCCTGACGCAGAAAGAGGGAAATCAGAAGACCACCAGGTTTACGATGATACTTGTATTTTTCCAGACAAGGGAAATAAATGTCACACAAGTGTGTGGGTGAAATGGTACGAATTGTACGAAAACGTGTGTGAACAAGAAAAAAAAAAAATACAGTACAAAAGTATATATGAAAATGACTAATATACATGAACCAATAAATAGCCAGTCTTAACATGATTGGTTGCAATGTCATGTGACAACAAGGCCATACATGTTTATTTAGTTAGTGGACAGACAAAAGCATATTGTCAGCTATAATGAAATATCGATCCATATACACAGCAAAATATAACAGAATGTCAAAAACAAAACACACATCATGTGGATACACATCACAGTTGAATTGTCAATTAATAGAAACCCTCTATATGACGATGGTACGCAGTAGTGTACTTAGAGGTAAAGAAATGTTAACAGTTGGTTAAATTCATCAAATAGGTTGACAAGATAATTGAGGCTTTAATGAATAGGAATAAGCCAGTAACTCATTTACGAAATGAAAAATTAGAGCGATAGAAAGAATAATTTTAGGAACGCTTTTAATTATTAATTATTTTTCAGCAGCGTCAGTAGCACACTGGTAAGGACGCAGGCCGACCATGCACATCGTCCGGGGTTCGATCCCCGGCTGACGCACTCCTTTACCTCGCTAAGCCACAAATAATGCTGGTAAAGAGGAAAGGTTTGGTATGAGGCTAGCAACCCCATCCTGTAAAAATAAACACTGCTACAGAAACTTCAAGCCACTAGCTTGAAGCCCTATGTTCTACTGAGAACGTAAAGGAAAAATTATTTTATTAAATTCTTAAAACACTACATGCAGACGTCAACTTTCATTAAGTCGACTAAAACTTATCTGGATAGTCAAATAGTAGGGGTAATTATGGGATAACTTTTAGGTTACGTTCAGACAATGAATCTGGTAGATTGCAAGAGATCAGCAGGTTACTATCGTACTGGTCTCAACTACCAGTCTTTAAACGATAAACCACTTTTGGTAATCAATACACTCCTTAATATGTCTGGTTTATATTTTCATTCTGAACTTGAAAATAATGCACCTGAGGAAATCGAATACACTGCCTGATAAAACTGATATTTTGTGATTTGAATGTGCATTGGTCTGCTTTGATTGATAGAGATACCTGCTTCCTATAGCGTCTCTTATTAAGACAAGAGTTTAGCAGTTATGGCCAACTTCCATTTTCACGACTGTTTAAGAATCTATGATTCGTTGTGGTATTTGCTCAAAATAGGTACCAGCCTAATTGTTCACTCTGTTCTGTTTTATTTACAATTACCATATACATAAGAACGGAGATTTTAGTCCGTATATCTGAGTTAACATAGAATGGTGTCCACTGTAATGTCTTCTGGTTGACTTTATTTTACAGTTGATACAGTCCTACTGTAACTACAAAAGGCAAGGGCCAGGCAGCAGATCGTTTTTTTGTTGTTGAGAAAATTGACAGATATTTATAGATTTTTATGTACATTATTATTCGTTATTGTTAGCCGAGAAGCAACGTCTTCTGATTGGTTTTTCCTGCTGCAGGTTATTCTGTCATCTCTTTGTGTCCATTTCTTAGAAAGTCAGACTATATATCTGCGAATCGTATTTGCACACATTAAGTCTGCTGTGATTGATTGTTGAGTTCCTTAAGGTTAACCTTTGTTACTGTTTTTTTCTCATAACGCCGATTCGGGACGTAAACGTTGACGTTAATTGTTGTCTACACTTTTGGCTTGCAGACAGCTCTCACTACACTACTAGATCTTGACTATTGCAAAGTATAGTCTTCCGAATATTTTGAATGTCAGTTCAGAAATGTGTGGGATATGTTTTCGTATCGTCAATGCGAACTCCTCCTTTGCCAGACACAACTCTGTTCACAGTACAAGATTTTTACGGTTAATTTTATAAGGCGGATTGCTAAACGATCCAACTAGAATTTAAACAAATTTATTCTGATGTTTTTGAGTAGCAGTGCAACGTCTTTTTTCTATACTTTTAGTCTTTATAAAACTTTCGCGTTGAGAAGTAACACAGAGTAAAGACAGTTGGTGTATAATAAAAATACCATTCAGCATTTATCATTAGAGTTATCATTTGAAAATGGGTGGATAGAATAAATCATGTTACTAGGCTATTCTTCAAACACATCAGAATAAATATGTCTAAATTTTAATTCACATCAAATCTTATTTAGTTGAATGGGGCTTATCAAGATATCTTCAGCCTGAGAATATGATAGTTAATACGGAGCTTTATGAAGTTGCATTTCATGATATTAAGAAGTTGAAAACAATGTATCGCAAGTCAATTGTATCAAAACGTATACTACTGTTAAGTGTCTTTCATAATAATCATAATAGCTTAGAGTTCATATATCTACTAGTCTAGGTAATATATTATATATACATTCAATATTGTATACATTCTTTCTTTTTGAAAAAATACCTATATTATTTGAACAAAATGGTTCTTTAAGGTGGTATGCAGTGCTTACACAACTTACACACATTTTAAACGAATTATGTCCAGTAAATGTGCTTCATATAATATACCAAGATTTTAACATACCATTTATTTGTCGAGTGTGACCAAGGACTCATATCAGAGAGCCACTGAGAACCAGAAAGTACTGGACAACTCTTTCGTTCTAGTTTGGGGATCATCAGTAATACGCGCCCATTGGGGTTCTAACCCAGGACCTTTTAGTTACAAGGTGAGCGCGGATACCATTCCACCACTTGGACGTGATTCAATGGCCCATGAATTCTAATCACGAATTGGTAGAAGTTAAAATTCCTGGGCTGGTCATTCAATCGGATCCCAGTGTCTGCGTACTGCCGATGAGCTCCAAACTAGGCTGACGACATAGCTGTCCAGTACTCCCTGGTTTTCAATGGTTCTCTAACTGTGATATCAATCCATGGTCATACTCGAAAAACAAATCAAATCCTTAGGAATCAACTCCTGAATACTATTTATAGGGGATTTACTATAAAAATAGTTAGACTCATGTTTCTCTCTTTGTAAAATTCTACCTAAATATTATTTTTTAAAATTTATTAATATCCTTACTCACAAATAACAATACTTTTTCATCTTTTTGTCTGAAGAGAAACAACATTAAGTCCTGTATTTGCTGGTGTTTATCCTTTTACAAAATAAAATTCCTTTTTGGGTATGTGTGTGTGTGTGTTTGTGCGTACGTGTGCTTGCTTCATGTTCATTCTAAAAGCTTTTAGTTCATAAATTAATAAGTTATTTTCAGTAATAACAATACTACTACTATTAATGTAATTTAGTAATTTAATTTGCTAAAATTCGTAAGTCCATGAAATTTACCAACTGAATACACTAAGGAAAGAAAAAGACATTACATTAGTTGATAGTTATTATACATTAGTATTACTATTACTATTGCTGTTACTAACTACAACTTTTCTGACAAGAAAAGTATAGAGTATTTAAAATCTCTGCTATGATAAGTAATAATAAAATGCTTAGTTTACTATACCATTATCTTGTGTAAACATTGCACATTACTAGACAATTCCTATAGAGAATGTTTATAGGCAAATTTTGATAATTAATTTTCAAGAGCCGGTTTGTAAGGATTACATTTTGTTTTTACGAATTTCAGCACGGATTGAGATCACAGTTAGAGAACCATTGAAAACCAGGGAGTACTGGACAACTGGGTCGTCAGCCTAGTTTGTGAACCCGGTGGGTGTGTACTGCTGAAGAGTCACAGACTAGGATGAAACAGCTGTCCAGTACTCCCAGGTTTTCCAATGGTCCTGTAACTGATGTCAGCTCATAGTGAAATCCTCCAACCGATCAAACAATATCCCTACAAAACCAATACTTGAAAATTATTCTGATGCTTACCAGTGACTGGTTCTATTCAGGCAGTTAACCTGAGGTTCTAGTGGGAAGTCGTGACCAGTAGGGTACAGCAGGTTGAAGATGAGGCAGTAACTCATCGAAAAATACATTGCGAAATGGTCGCGCTATGTCGTAGTTTGGGAATCATCGGCAGTACGCACACACCACAAGGGTTGGAATCCAGGACCTTTCGGTTACAAGGTATGCTCGTATACGATTCGGCCACTGGGACCTGATTCAGTGACCAGCCCATGAATTCTAACTTCTAACTCTCAATTTCAATAATTGTCTTAGTGTCTTTTTTCAACACTTGACGCTGTATATGATGATTTCGTTCAGCTGCTGTTTATGAGAAGGATTATCCTAGATCTAAGTTTGTTGGGATTCGGTTGACTTGAACTTACATTTCCTTACTCATTAATATGACCTATAGAAAAACAGAAAACTAATAGCCGCTCATTGATTATTTTTTCTGAATTTCAGACTTTTCACCAGTTTTAATATACGATGGATTCATTCAAGACAGCCAGTTTATATGATGAGCCAGTTGAGTCCAATCCAGAGGTCTATAATCTGTAACTTTATTAATCTGAGACAGACTACTAATGTAGTTGGTGGTTCAGTGGTAGAATGCTCACCAACTAAGCGGAAGGTTTGGATTCGATACCTGGTTGACACGTTTCTAAATCTAGCTTACCTAATTAGAAGTCTAGAAAGGAGGGGATATGGCTAGCAACCTTGCCGAGGTAAAAATAATT